AAAAAAAAAAAAAAAAAAAAGACAGCAAGAAGATGGCTGCCCACAAGCCAAGAAGAAAGGCCTCATGGGAAATCAACCATCCAGACACGTTGAGCTTGAACTTCCAGCCTCCAGAACTGAGAGAATAAATTCCTGTTTTCACATCTCCTAGTCTGAGGTATTTTGTCACAGGGGCCCTAGAAAACTCACACAGGGCCCATGGAGCAGGAGGAAGAGAGGCAGAAGAGGAAATGAGGCAGCAGCGGATTCCTAGTAGTGGTCCCAAGGGGAGGGAGAGAAAGACAAGCACAGGGTCACCAACGAGAGGGCAGACGGTGCTTTGAGGAAGAGGGACTCATCGTGCCAAATGCTGCTGAGATGCCAGAGTTGACCAGGAGGCTCAAAGACACCCGTTAGACTTAGGCTGAAATTGTGGGTGACCCTAGGGAAGGACCGGTGGAAAGGCTGAAGGGATGCGGGGTCGGGGGTGAAATCAGAGTCAGAGTGGAGATACGTCCAAGGCCCTGTCTGTGAAGATGAGGAAGCGCGCCTGAGCTGCCCGGGGAGGTGGGAACAGCTAAAAAGTGACTGAACTCCTGCAAATGAGGAGAGGAAGGAAGGAGCCGCAGGCCGAGGGAGCTTCTTCTACACTTGTGTTTCTCAGGCCTGCCTCACCCCAGACACACCCAAGGCAGCCTGATTCAGCCACTGAGGGAACCTGAGTGTCCGTATCATCACGTTTCCCAAGTGAGCCGAGTCCCTGACCCAGGAGACCCACATTGGGAAGCACGGTCCTAGACAAATTTTAAAGCCCATTGTTGCCCAGTGAACCAGTCCTGTTGATAAAAGCATTGTAACGTTTTCTTTTTCATGCCAGATTTCAAAAATAAACTCATCTTGTCCAAGTGATAAACCATTCTACTCTTTCGATTTCTGTCCTGCCTTGTTGTAAAGATGCCTTTATTAGAGACCGTGACCCACATCTGTTTTAACAAGAACACAAAACACTTTCCCAGGACGTTGATGAACAGGTAGCAGGGTGAAATCGCTCTGGAATGGATGAACTAAGTGCACCAAGAGCTGCCTTCTCTTATGAGAAGAGTGGATAATCCCCCTCTCATAACTTCCACTCATTCATTCCACAGAGATCATTTCATCGCCACTGTATGTAACAACAATTGCTGCAGGAAATCATTTCTGTCCATCAATTTCCCAAAGGAGGAATAAGATCTTGTATAACTCTAGAAGAACTGAAATGTTTATATAGTAGATAACAAGATGGTTTTCTAGAATTTTTCTACCATGATGACTGGTTTTCTAGAAATTCTGTTCATATCATATTAATATCAACATTGACATTTCGGACCACTCTGAGGATTAAGGAGTTAAATGGTGGAAGTCAGTCAAGAGAAGGTACATACAGATCACCAACACGTGGTGGCAAAAAGGTGAAATTAAAGCGGAAACGCGCAGAATGTCGACATTCTTGTCACAGAGTGAGGAATGCCAGAGCTCAAGGTGTGGAGCAGAGGGTCCACTGAGACTAAGCAGGACTCAGGGGCCCCCAGGGCTGGTGACACCCCAATGAGGAAAGGTACAAACAAATCAAGCACATGAGGTTCCCGGATCAAGAACCCTGAGTGATCACCACTCCCAGGGACGGAAGTATAGGGGAGGGACTTGTAAGAACAAAGAGGGAAGGAGAGTAAGGAGATGACGCTGAGTTACATTTCACAGGGTTTTCTTGGCTCTACCCACTGGGCAGCTCTGCCACTCTGTACCTGCCACCGTCTGGGCACCAGTGAATGTAAATAACTGAGTCTTACAGACTCAAATGGCCCCACCTATCCTATCGGGGAACTCTTGTATGGAAGAACGGAAAACAGAGGAGTCAAGCAAAGGGTTTACCTGGCAGTATTATTTCAGGAAAGCCCATTTTCCGGGCTATTGCTGTCGATCTGTCAATCAAGTGTGAAAAATTCTTCTGAACTTGCGTGAGGTCACCAGGCAATAGCTTCAAGGACACCCAAAGCCCTTTAAGGAAAGAAAAAATAAACTTTCAGGTCTCTGTATGATCTTACTACCCTCTGCTACACACAGAGATCAAGAAAAGCATGAATTGCATAATAAAAACCAGGTCCCTTATTGTAAAGATATATGTTATAGATTGGGCGTAGTAGTGCATCCCTGTAATGTCGGCACTCTGGGAGGCTGAGGCAGGAGGATCACAAGTTTGATTCCAGCCTGGGTCACTTAGTGATTTATGAAGACACTGCCTCAAAAATAAAAAAAAATTTAAAAGGGTTGGGGATGTAGCTCAGTACCAAGGTCTTGATTTCAATCCCTAGTACTTCAAAAAGAAACCCCCAAGGTCAAAATGTAAATTCTCCCCCAGTTAACTTATAATTTTAATGATACTGTCATCAAATTCATAATAGGGCTTTGAGAAGTCGACAGAGAAGTGAACAGATCCTCACTTTGTGTGTGTGTGTGTGTGTGTGTGTGTGTGTGTGTGTGTATGTGGTGGGGAAGGCAACCCCAGCGAATCCCAAAATATGTAGTGGGATGAGTGGCAGGAAAGATATCCAAGGCACTCCAAGCCATGAGATTAAATACCATAATATATGGCAAAAGAGCCTAAGCAAATTATGAAACAGAAATACTGAATTTCATTAAGATACTGGTGCAATGTCCTTGCTATTTTAAAGCAGAGTAAATCAAACTTCTTACCTCCTACAGTCATTAAGATAAATTCCTACTAAATAGCAAGAAAAGGCATGAAATTAAAAGTGTATAGTTATTAAATCAAAAAGGAACATTTTCCAAAGTAGAGACAAAATAAAAGCAAAACAACTATCCATACACCAACTAGTTCTGACACACATAAAAATGTAAAATGATAAGTATAAAATGGTGAGGTACTCGTAAGAAATTATGAATGCACAGCCATTAAAAGTTCTTACAAATAAATAGCATGAAGAAAATTCACAGGGAAAAATAAGAGTTTATAATCATGCAGCCAATCAAAAGCTAGAAAAATCTATCTTAAGAGAAGATTGTTATCTTCATGATATAAAAAGCTCATAAAATCCGAGATGGGAAATTCATGATACGTGCATGCGCGCACGCATGTGTGTGTAAACTCATTAGCACAGATGAAGGCTGGGTAATTCATCTTCAAACTGCTTATTAAAATGCAAGAGCATCATGGAGTGTTCTTTTTACCTTCAAACATGTTAGTACAAATTTTTAAACATCAGTTCATGAAGCAGGCCAGGGCACAAGAGTGAGCACTCCGGTCTGGTGCTTGGCACCCACTGGAGAGACCTAGGATTGGCAACGGGGATGTCTTTGGTCTAAGTTTGTTTCTGTCATGTGACCCAGATATCCTACTTCCAGAATTTTCTTGGGGAGTTAATCCCCAAATGTGGGAAAAGTTTCACTATAACAATAGTCATGATAGATTCATTTACATGTACAGTGGTGACAAATTAGAGAGCTCTTAAGTATTCACCTCGGAGACTGAATTTTTAAAAATCTGTTAAGTAAAAATTACAGAAGGCCATTGTTTTAGACTAAGCTCCTGTACTGGGTCCCAAAAAACCAGGCTAAAAGTCAAAATGGAATCCACCATGTCAAAGTTCAAATCATCAAAAGAAAACTAACGGGTTATCTGGTTTTCAGAGAAATAAGGATTAGAGGTAACAGCTACATTTTCTAAACTGGCCAGTTTCAAGTGGCATAATAAAGAAGTTTCCTGTGTTTTCACTCTTACAAAACAAGTAACCTGATGTCAGCCAGTTGGTTATTCTCCTACTGTTCTATGTCTTTGCGCTCACCTTACAGGAAAAGAAACTTTGAAATGACCAGCCATTATTTTGTTCCTTCTCTTTTTTTCAGCCTTTCTCAGTCTATAAAATCAACCTTTCCCACTCAGCCCATTAGAACACTTATTCTATTTTATTTAATGAAATGGTGCCTGATTCTATAAGAGAAAATGAAGTAAAAAAATTAAGAAGCAAAAACCCCTTTAAATTTAGTTTTAACTATTTTTCTTTTTGACAAATTCAATCAATAAAATATTAATGGAGCTGCAAAAACTATTGTAAAGAACAGAAAAACATTTGAAAAGTGCTTGTTTGTTGTTCTGTAGCAAAAAGAAAATACAGTGTTTTTTTGTTTTGTTTTGTTTTTTGAGACACAGTCTTGCTATGTAGTCCAGGTTGGCCTTGAACTCATGGTCCTCCCGTATCAGCCTCCCAAGTGAGAATTTCAGGAGTGCACAACCACACCCGGCACACACATTCACACACACACAAAGTATACAGATAGCAATCTACTTAGTACAAGCATTTTCTACCCTAAAAGTGTATTCTTAAGTGACCAAATATGCTCAGTTATTTATTTACAAATTATTTACTGCTCACATGTCTTTTCCACTTAGGATACTTGTGTATACACCAGAACCCAAACTTCCTGAAAATAATGTATTATCTGATTGCTGACTTTTCAGAAAACAGTTACAGGGTAGTGACAAAAAAAAGTGGATCAATCTTTAAATTTATCCAAATATGGTTGCCATCTTGGTATTTGAATTTTAAAATTTTTGACTATTTTCATTACCATTTGTGTTTAATACGAGTTTCCAAGAGCAGAACCTCTGCTAGCTAGAACTCCTTCAACAGAACAATACACGGTGGAACTAACCACAGAGGCTGTGTGAGGGGCGCATTATTTTCCGTTAACACATGCCCATGGGAGCTGGGGATTTAGCTCAGTGGCACAGCGCCTGCCTGGCAAGCGCAACGTCATGAGTTCGATTCCCGGTACTGGAAAAAAACAAAAACAAAAACAAACAAACAAAAAAACACATGCCCATGGAGGGTATGCTAGTCTTCCTCCTCCCAGGCTTAAGAAACACCATGGAATACATTTATTCAGAGAGTGGAACATAGTTATTCCTGAATCTTTTTTTCCTTTGCGCATTTACTTAGAGCCAACACTGGGAATGCAGGCTAGAAGACTGAGGAGATAAAAGTGAGCTCCACAGCATTCCACAATCCAAGTGTGATCCATCCCTTTCCTGTTCCCTGCGTTCCTATCTCAAGTGGGTGGTTCCCAGCACAGGGTGTTTCCTATCAGGGAGGAACAGAGAAAAGGCAGGAGTCCAAGGCCAGGGCTCTGAGCATCCCTCCCACCTGGCCAGAGTCCTCTCCCAGGCTGACAGGCTCTGTACCTTGTCCTTTGTGATTCACTTCCTTTGTTGCTATCACTTTATTCAGGACTGAAGTGAGCGGCTCGTTCTCTCCAATCACATTTGATGTTATCAGGGGTGCCATGATGAGCTGTCTCTGCCGGATATAGGTCTCCATCGCAATTCTAGGGAAGACAGAATGAGAGGTGAGGAGAAACAACGTGTGTGCACATTCGCATATGTGCGTACATGCATGTATCTCTATAGCACAGTCTCAGATGGTAGTGGGTTTCAGGAAATAATTTGGAAATTTAAACTATATCTTATCAGAAGGCGCCCTGTATTGTTAAGGACAGATTACAGAGGTCTGCACTGGGCTCCAATGAACCAGGCTAAACATCAACAAGGAATCACTCCTGGTAAAGGTCCAGGTCGTGGGGGCTGAACTTAAGCTAGTTCTGACTTGCTAACAAATCAGGAGAGAAAGAACACAGCCATACTTCAAATAGGACAGTTTCAACGGGCAGGACAATGAAGCTCCCCTGCCTTAATCCTTTTCCCAAAAAAGGTAACCCATCAATTATTTTCTATTGTTCTGTCTCCCTGGCCCTGCAAGGAAAGTCACTTTGAAATGACCCACCCATTGTTTCTTTTTTTTGGTGCTTTTGCTTTTGTCAGCACTTTTCCATACAACTAATCTGTTCTGCTGGGGCCTTGATTCTTCTGTTGTTCTGAGACAGAGTCTCTACCTGTAATCCAGGCTGGCCTTGAACTCACTATGTAACCCAGGCTGGTCTCAAATTTGTGATCTTCCTGCCTCAGCCTCCTGACTGCTGGAATTACAGGCATAAGCCATCACACCTGGCTGGCTAACACTATATTATGGAGTGCAATTTGGGTCAATCATAGAGCAGAAAATAAAGCCAATTAAGATCTTTAAAATAAACTGTCAGGTGGGCACTGTGACACACATCTGTAACTCTAACTACTAAAGAGGCTGAGGCAGGAGGGTTACAAATTCAAGGCCAGCCCGGGCAGCTTAGTGAGAGACTGTCTCAAAATGAAACATGAAACTGGCTGAGGCTGTGACTCAGTGGTACAGTGTGTGTCTAGCTGCACAAGGCCTTGGGTTCAATCTCCAGTGTTTCACACACAATAAAAAATTGTTATAATTTTGTCCTTAACACTCATCATCTTTCCTGTTATGTTTCCACTGAGTGCCTATCGTAAGCACTGAATACAGCTTGGAAACGACTGGAGCCAAGTAAGGAAAAACAAACTCAAGAACAACTACAACCAAAGGCGAACTGTAAACAAGGGAAGGCAGAGCCAGCACTCAAAGCTCTTCTCCGGTGGCTGCTGGGATGGGACTGAAGGAGGAGGCCGAAAAGGGAGGAGATCTGGCTTCCGGCTCTAGTTCTACTTAACATGTGCTCTGCAGGGCTCTCCCTTGGGCTTCAGTTCCCTCAGCTGTCTGGCAACCGGCTTGGCTCCCAGGCCTTCAAAGGCCACCATCGACCCCACCGTCCGACACACAGGTACAGCCTGCGTGCAAGCCCTTGGATGTGTCCCGAGATCCCCACACAGGAACAAACTATACTTAAGACCATGACGGAGGGGGCCCCAGCCAACAAGCTCCCCGTGCACTCTGAGGATGAAAACATATTACCACATGTGCCCGGGAACTGGACTGCTACAACCTGACGGGTTGCTCCACCAACTGACTCTGGGTAAAGGGATCTGCGGAATACACACACGTCCTTCGGGTATGAAACACTATCATAGATCATGAAAGCACTCGCCATGTATCTTAGGAGTTAAGCGCCAGAGGCTGCGATTGGCAAGGGGAATGCTTCACAGTGGCTGCTGGCTGCAAAGCAAGTGGTAATCAAATTAGGGTTCAGTTCCTCGGGGACTCCAAGCGCGTATCATTCTACAGCGGAGATAATCTCAGGGCTCACTGTTGCCACATAGCTGCTGCTGATTCAGAAATCGAGCAGGGAGACCCAGACCACAGGGACAGCCCATTGCCAAAACGAAAACAGATCCAGGGTCACAGTTCAAATAACTTTCTTATTCGTGAGTGCTGCTCCTACTATGAAGATACTCACGTGTAATAAATATTTAAAATATATGGAACACATATAATAAGATTATATGTACACCATGGATATGAATGTTATGCATTTATATCTATTCAATATGTTTTATTTGCTTAATAGATTCAATATATTAATGTAACATTAGTTAATATTGTGTTAAACTCAGTAACTTCTGTAGTACACTTAGTGAAATGTACTTATATAACATATATAATACAACACATATAACATGAAAACATCTTGGTCACTAATGTACCGCATATATTTGATGGTCTCAGAGCAGTCTACACCTAAAGACACTGTGGTCATCTTTGTGTCAGTCCACTCTGTAAAGTTGCCACAATGACACTGCTTAAGGATATATCTGTCAAAACATATCCCATCGTTAAGCAATACAAGCTCTGTGTATGTGTTAGGGGTCATATGCATGGATATGACAACTATCTCGTAGTATCAGAGCTAAGACACATAAAATACTGAGCTCATCCTACTGCTGGAAGGTAAGCATGTAGGTTGTAGAATATCAGATAAGTGCACACTTTTAAAAGAATTAATAGTCTCTGGAAGACATCGGGAAGTACTGTCTAGCAGGAGCTATTCGTATCATAACACTTAGAACGGTTCAAAGGTGTTGGACTGAAAATGTAAAGATCAGGATATTTCTATTTTAAATAATCTAAAATGTAACGTGCATTTACTGTGGAAGAAAAACAGAGTGGTGGAACTACAAATAGTGAAACCAACAGCAATAATTACTGTCAATGATGCAGTCCATTCTTTGCAGTAAATCTTAAGGCTTTGAATGCACTGTAACAAATCCATACGCCTATGAGTAAGAAGGGTTCCCATACATCTGCTCAAACCCTGGATAGCTTATATAACTTTAAAACTTGGTCAAGCCCCAAACTAAACCTTGTTTTAATTTACATTTCACTGAAGTTCAATGAATTACAGGTCATTTCTTTGTGCATGCATGCACACGTGTTTGTGTGTGTGTGTGTGTGTGTGCGCGTGAAAGAGAGTGAGAGAATAAGTGAAATGGTTAGGAGATTTTCTCCAAAAATAGTATTTCCTTTGCATGATTTATCTTTCTGTATTCGTTTGCAGTATCATTTGTAAGAATGCCATATTAACTCCAGTATCCTTGGGCTGGTTTCTGGAAGTGTTTGTTCTGTTGATCCATGATGGCAGCTGCCAGGTAGCTGAGACACCTCCAGTGGGACTATGGCCCCTGGGCAGGGCCACTTCCTCTGCAGGGGACCATCATCTCCGGAGAGGGTGAGGAGCCTGAATGCAGAGCAGTCCCCTGCTCACACCTGTGCTTCTCCGAGTCACAAGGACTGAGCTTTGCTCCCTCTCCGCCCCCAGTGGCCTGTCTACAGCTCCAGCTCTGCAGCTCAGTATGGGGCCCTTACAGCAGCTCTGGAGGGCGGGGTCCTTCCCAGTCCTCCCACGCTGCCTTCCTCCCTGCAGCCACACTAAGCCCTGGGCTGCAGTCCTTCCCTCTCCTGCCTCCCAAACCCTTCCTACTTGAAGAGTGCTGTGTGGACCCGGTGTCATCAGCACCAGCCGGCAAGTGTGCTAGGTGCAGACCTCAGGCCCCCTGGGTCAACTCTGGCATTCTAACCAGATTCCTTAGTGGTTCATGTCTGTGATACAGTGTGGGAAGCCCTACACTGTCCAGCGTAAGCCCTGGTCTCCTGAGATATCCATTCCACATGGCAGTCTGCAGATACACTTCAGCATTTCTGACTCCTGCAGGGTGCCTTTCTCTGGCTTTCTGTGCAGACACACATCTGTCCTATCTTTTCCATTCCTTCCGCTATTTCTACAGAATCAGGAAAAGCCCAGTTTACCTTTTCAAACTATAGTCTAAAATAAAAGACTTTGAAAAAAATGTCTTCTGCCAATCTCCTCGTTGAGAGTCTTCCAGCGGAAGAGTTTTTCTGTCCCTGAGAAAAGGGCTCCCAGCACCTGGCTCCGAGTTCACACGCCATTCAAACAGCTAACCCTGGTCTCAAGTCACCTGGGATACATGCCAAAGTACTTACTGCTGAAAGGGAATAAAATGCTGTTTTTCTTCATCGTCCACCTTCCCGTGTATGATATCAGTAATATCCATCACTAGGAAAGAGATAAGCTTCATTAAAGAAAGTAATTGCTTCATGCCTCACTAAGCTGCTATAGAGAAGGACAGTATCAGCAAACCCTGAACACGAGAGGAAGAAAGATACCACGCAGGGACATTTCTTTTCTTTCTTTGCCAACGATGACTGCCCAGCATAGCCAGCCCTGCAGCAGGTGCTAGGAAAGGGGCTTTGGATTTTCTCCCATCCACCCTGCAGACCACCCCTTTGAAAAATTCTGCAAGAGTAACTTGCTAAATTCTTCAGAATTTTGAGAACAATTATTTTCTAGCGAGCTTGTGCTCAAAGCCATGGAGAACACACATTTTTGGTAGGACTGTCGGGAGAATTAAAGACTCAGAGAGAAATTCAAAACTTGAAGGGGTCATGTACTTGTTTGACTTGACATGCTCTCACCTGGCTCCCACATAAACCTGGGGAGCAGCATTACAGAATAAATCCAACAGTGATTTGCTCTTCCCCTGTGCGGGAAATGCATAGGGCACTGTGCTAAGCCTGGTGTATGGATGGAGCTATTACTAGGTCTTCCTTAAAAGCTGAGGTGCAGAAAAATTAAGTACCTGGCCTAAGTCATAAATTTAAGTGGGAAAGCCGGGATATGTGTCCAACAGTTACTCCAGAGTCAAATCGTGTAACCACTCCACTCGGCTGCCTAGAAAAATGGTAAATGGGTTGCTATCAAGCTGTTGGCAGGAGGCTGAGTCCTCTGTTAATAAATTAGTCTGGCCATAAAACACACACACTAACAATCTAGCACCCAGATAACCTGTCTGGAGACTGCAGGAAGTGCTGGGATGTAAGACAGGTCTCACGTGAAAAAACCAGAAAGAAGAGAAGAAATGTGTTCTCTACAGTAACTCAGGCAACATGGTGTGTAAGACGTGAGAAATAATGTTGGTGCTAGGAAGGTGTGGGAAGCAAAGCGTCACATCCACGTGCTGTCAGCCCTATGGGAAGCCTGTAAAAACTGTACACGCTAAAAAAAAAATACTGAGGCTGAGGGTGTAGTTCAGTAGTAGAGTTCTTGCTCAGCACGGGTCAGTTCCTGGGTTCAATCCCCACCGCCACCAAAACAAAACCTACAAAATTTTCTGCTCTCCAGAAATAGACGGTGCATTTGTCCAGCTGTTATGAATGACTCCTGACTTCCGCTGGTAAATTAGTATCCTCTGCATTCCACGTGTTTAACACTTTACACACCCATGCACTTGCGTGTGTGTGCACGCGCACACACACACACACCTTTCTGCTAAAGCAGAAAAGCAAAGCCTTAAGCTTAATTCTTGAGGCTATCTTCCTCCTGCCCCTTTTTTTCAGTGCTGGGGATTGAACCCAGGGTCCTCACATTTAGTCTTTTTTATTTAATTATTTTTAGACAGGGTCTCACTACACTGCCCAGCCTGGGCCCTGACTTAAGCTCCTCCTGCCTCAGCCTCACAGATTGCTGGGATTATAAGCATGTGCCATCGGGCCTGGCTTTTCTGACCTATTTTGAATGACAGGGACCTTGAGTATATTCTAAGTCCTTTCAGGGAATAATGCATACATTGCTTTATAAGTAGCTAAGCAGTCGTGGTCAAGGGCTCCCTGCCTTCTCTGATCCTCAACGCTATTTCTCTGGTCAGCCCTGGAGCAGCCCATGGATGGGGCAGCTCCAGGGCTGTGGCACACGGACAGGGTATAGGAGAGAGGCCACCTTATTATTCATACAACCCATGAGGCTGAGCCCAAGAACGGTGAATATCTGCCTGGTTGCATGAGCAGAATGACGACATTTCACCAATGACTTCCAAGCTACTGGGGACCCACCGTCAATGTAAGACCAAAAATCTGTTCTCTCAGTTTAACAAATTACAGAGGAAGATACAGGGCCTCTTGGAAGGTTCCAGAGTTGGATTTAAGCCATGGATTCCCTTTGAAAGCACTTCAAGATATACTGTCGCCTTCGAGCAGTAAATTACATGTCTCAAATAGGCACACTAGTTTTCAGGGAAGCTTAGTGGCAGAGAGCTTGCGTGGCATGTGGGAGGCATGGGTTCGTTTCCCTGCGCCATCACCACCACCAAAAAATGACAGCAGCTATCACCATCATCCATATGCAGACACAGGCAAAGGATCCCCTGAGCCAGTTCTGCGGTTCCGCTGTGTAGGAGACTTGCCCACAGCGCTAGCGGGAGAACGAAGGTGGGGATAAAGGACCCAAGCAAAGGACCGGCGGCCCAGGCAGTGAATGCCATGTGCCTGATGCTGACGTGACAGCGGGACCCGTCTCTCCCGTCCTGGGCTCATCTTCTGGCCACTCCCTGCCCTGCTCTCCTTCCTTCTTCCCTCTCTTTTAGTTTTGGAAATTGCCCGAAGATATACATAACACAAAATCAACCGTTTTATCCCTCCCCCTCTTTCTTTTTCTCTCTCCACTGGGTCTTGCTATGGAGTCCAGGCTGATCCTTAACTCACTAAGTGGCCAGGTTGGGCTCAAATGTGCAATCTTCCTGCGTCAGCCTCCTGAGTGGTGGGATTACAAACATGTGCCACCATGATGGGCTCATCCTAACCGTTTGTAAGTGTCCAGCTCAGGGACACGAAGTTTATTCACTGTGGTGTACAACCGTCACCAGATTCACCTGCACAACCTTTCATCTTCCCAAGCTAGAACTCTCTAATGTCCCTGGCCAATGCATACCCTGGCAGTCCCTACTCCACTCTCTGTCTCTACGACTGAGGTTCCCCTTGGTGGGCCATAGACATGAACTCACACAATATTCACTTTCTTTGGTGTGTGGCTTACTTAGCATAATGTTCACAAGACTCATCTGCGTTGTGGTCTGGGTGAGAACTTCCTTCCTTTTAAGGCTAAATAATACGCCCTTTGGCAGATAACACACCACATTTTCTTAATCCATTCAGCCACTGATAGGCACTGAGGGTGCTTCTACTTTTTAGCTCTTGTGAATAATTCTGCTATGAACAACACTTTATGAGTTTGTCTTTGATACCTGGCTTCCAATTCTTTTGGGCACATGCTCTCAAGTGGATGGCTACATTGTACTATAGACCGACCAACTACCTTTCTTCCTTCCTTCCTTCCTTCCTTCCTGCCTTCCTTTCTTCTGCCTATATGTCTCTCTCTCTTTTTTTTCCCCATTACTAGAGATTAAACCCAGGGCCTTTGCACTGAGCTATAACCCTATCCCTATTTAGAGAAACGGTCTGGCTAAGTTTCCAACTGGACTTAATCCTGCCTGAGCTTCCTAGAGCTCTGGGATTATAGGCATGTACCACCGTGTCTGGCTGGACTTGATTTTCCAAGCACTGCCTCCTGCTGAGGGCAGTATTTGCACCACTGCACATCGGTCCCAAGGCCTTTCTTGTACCTGCTACTCCAAAGGGTCTCCGGAGCCCGCAGGTGTGCTTTCTGCCCTCCTTCAGCTCCATGCGGCCCACACGAACGATCTGGCACACAAGGCTGATGCGGGGCCGGATGAGGTCTGTGCTGCTGAGGTCCTGAAGCATGGAAAGAGAACCCAGGAGAGGTCACCCGAGTCACCTGTGACATTCTCTTTTCACCCTACAGCAGAATCCCGTTTGGAGCACATTTCTCAACGCAGAAACCCCAGAGAGACTCCTCCCTTTCCCATTCCCATCCCTAAGCTATCGCAGTATCAGAGAAAACGATTTCCTATTTATACAAAAGCACTTTTCTCATTCCCCAGTTCCAACTCCAAAATTCTAGAACAGATTGGAGTCAGTCAAAAGTGTCGGGCTTCGCTCAGGTGAATGGGGTATTTAAAAATCAGGACAGTCACTGCTGTCACTTTGCATCCTCCTAATTCAGGACAGGCTGCATTTTGGTGCCAGAGGAATACAAATGTGTGTGACAGTGACATTTACTGGGTCTCCACATAGGCCTGTGACATTTCATCTTCAAAGCAGTGCTGGGAGGCAAGGGTGATGCAGGCACTGCTTTGTGCCATTATCCACCTGCTCTCCGAGAGAAACCCACCGAGGGCTTCTCCGGTGGGGGGAGGGGGTGCTGAGTAACGTGAAGTGTGCAGGGCAAAGCTCTCTGCTCCCGCACAGAGCTGAGGGCCGCACTCCTCTGTGTTTGTCGGGATGGGTGAGTAGGCCCAGCAGTGAGCTCTCGCATCTCATTCACTTCATATCAGAGTTAATTTCATTACAGCTTGAAATCTTCATGAAACAGCTGCCCGAGTCCTCTTGACTAAACCAAAAACTACTTTTCAAATAATTATTCCAAATCTCTTCCCTGCAACTGAGTTAACTCAGGTCACCAAGGCAGGAGTATCCACCAATAATAACGTCCAGCCCAGATTTCTGCTGGGAGTTCTGCAAGGTTTCCAATCACAGACGAAACAGATGAAAACAGTATGGCGCATTATCCAATAATATGCTAGCACGGATAAATGAAGTTTTTGAAGGTTGCTCAATGACCAGAGAAATGGTTCCCACATTTTACTTAATTGAAAAGGCTAGACGTGACATCTGCATATTAAGTGGTCCTAATGGGTGTGGACTGGTGGGGCAGAGAGGCAAGGATGGTGAACAGCCGCTGTTGGAAAATGGTACCGGTGAGAAGATGGACCAAGTACTAAATAATACAGTACCCATCTTTCCCTGCTTGTATTTTGAAATAGGGTTTTGCTATGCAGTACAGGCCAGCCTTACCCTAGCCGTGTAGTCCACGCTGGCCTTAAACTCTTAATCCTCCTGCCTCAGCCTCCTCAGTGCTTAGATAGCAGACACACCCCAGCATGCTCAACTCAGTATCTTTCTCTGTACACCTTTTAAAGTGTGACATATAGACAGATAAATGCCTTTTGACTTCAGGGAGAAGAAAACCACGTATCTTAGAGCTAAGGAGATACTGGAGAGCCTTACTGCATTGACAGGGGGCTGGATTTACTCAGTGCAGGGACAGGAATCAGCCCACGCTTATCCCAGCAGGGAGACACTAACAGAAGGAGTAAAAGTAAGGTCCTGCAGGGAGCACAGGTCCTTCCTGTCACTCCCTTCGGCACCGTAACTTGGACACTTTTTCTTGCCCTAAGAACGGGAAGAGAATAAGGACATAACGTGTGGGCTGAGGAGAGCAGAACAAGGAGAGTCGCCCCTATAGGCCCCAGGACCAACGTCGTAAATGAGTGGGAGAAGCCCAGAAAGTCCCTAACGTAGGAAGAAGATGGTGCACGTGCCTGAACGTGCAGCCCAGGGCATTTTCCTGCTCTGAGCCAGACACAGTGCACTCTGGGAGGAAGAGAAGGAGCCCCGGGCTGGGGATTTAGCTCAGCGGCAAAGCGCCTGCCTGGCAAGCGCAAGGTCGTGAGTTCCGTTCCCCGTACCGGAGAAAAACCAAACAAAAAAAAAAAAAAAGAGAAGGAGCCCCCCAGGCAGACACACACATACACATTGTGAGCCAAATACAGTGAATATTTACATTAAAATTTTTTTTTATTACAGTGAAAGATGCATTGCCATTATTTCCCCCCCGAAACTCCTCCAACTTGCTTTAAACACACTTAGCCCACAGTTCCTGCCACTTTCTGAAGTAGTTCTGAAGTCCTCTTCCGTATCGTCATCTGGTTTGATCAAAAATACTGCAAATGCTGTTGCCCAGGCCCATCCAGGGGAAAGGGAGGTTCATAAACACCGTGCTCTGTCCTCGTCCACCTTATTCACCAGACCTGGCACTGTGTGATGTCTGGTTCTTTCCTGAAGTCTAACATTACCATGACAGGTACATATTTTGAATCAGTTCAACACACTGACACAGGTACCACAGTGTAAAGACACTCATGAAAGAGCACTTCCAGAACTGCTTCAGAAAGCAGCAAGAATGATGGGATAAGTATATTCTAAGTGAAGGGACGACGTTGGGGGGAATCATGGCAAAATTTCTTTTACTATAATAAATTTCTTAAAAATTTAAACGTTCACCCTATCTTCAGCTCATACCAGGTGGCAGCTCTCAGGATGGAGGCGAAGGAACGGTCCATTTGGACAAATGCATACAGAGAGAAGTCTACACCCTGCCTCTGCTTGGCCAGGGACCTAGGTCTGAGGCAGTGCCCCACTTCCCCGCACAGCTCACGCTCTCACCAACTTCTCCCTCTCACAGAAACCTGCCCTGGTTCACACAGTCCCTTATCCTGGGTCCCTGGGACCAAAGCCAGGGCTCTGTGCCTGCTAAGCAGATGCTCTAACCACTGGGCCTCATCCCCACTGGCCTATTTAAAATACAGCGCTTCCCCATGAGACGATGGCAGCCCCCTCAAAACACCCAGGCCGTCTCAAATTCCATGTACTTTACTCATTTATTGATTGTTTATGACCTGTTTTCCCCCTCAGGGCAAAATCTGCTCAACAGCAGGGACTTTTTCTTTCCTAATTTTATTCACAGGTACTTTATCCCCCCGTGATTTGTTGAGGGATGTACCACCAGTGCCTAAGCCAGGGCCTGGCATCAAATAGATGCTCGCTACATCTCTGCTGAGTAAGTGAATGGGTTATTCCCGCTATAGGCTTCTGAGGAATTCTCATCTTTTACATTTTCCATGTGCACCCGATCGCAGCAGGGCAACAAAGACAATGAGGAAACAGACGGTGAGACTTACAGTAAACACCGCTTGCAGGTTATTGAGCTTCTCTATCTCCTTGGGCATCCCGTTACTGCCCCAACGAATCAGATAGTTCTCACTGGCAAGAGAAAGAAAACGTTGCTTTTAAGGAGAGACCAAGCAGGCATGGAGGTTGCCCCGAGTACAGAAATATAAGAGTGAGGAGAAGGGGCAAGACAGCTCCTGGAAATCCTGTAGGCAGCTGCATAAACGTAGGACCTGAGCACGCACACCTGGTCCCTCGAGTCACTGCGGCTCTCTGGCTCTGTCATGTCCCTGGCTGCAGCCCCACAGGAAGCCTCCACTTGGATCACAACAAACGCTACTCAGGATGGGGCAGACGCAGCACACCGTCAGGGATGGGACTGTCCTTTTATTTTTCATATGGTACTCGGTATTGAATTCAGGGTGTTTGTACTGAGCTACAGGCCCAGCCCCTTTTATTTTGAAACAGGGTCTTAGTAAGTTGCCAAGTCTGGGCTGGAACCTGAGCTCTTCCTGCCTCAGCCTCACAGAATGTGGGGATTACAGGTCTGTACTACCAGTTGTCTGGGGCCTTCTTTCCAACTCACAAATGCTTTGTATGGAAGTTTGAGCTTTGCTCAATCAAGAATTTAATTTCCTTCCTTCCTTCCTTCCTTCCTTCCTTCCTTCCTTCCTTCCTTCCTTCCTTCCTTCCTTTGTCTTTTTGAGACAGAGTCTCCCGATACAGTTTAGGCTGGCCTTCAGCTCACTTTGTAGTCCAAGCTGGTCTCAAATTCGCAACCATCCTCCTGCCTCAGCCTCCAGAGTGCTGCGATTACAGGCATGTGAAATGACACCTGGCTAGGAATTTAATTTTCCAATAGCCATTCCAAACCCATCCTTGTAACCTACAATATCACACTTAAAACATTTGTTTTAGAAAGAAACAATTCATCAGTAACTGCTTTTTTTTTTTTGGTCTTTTTGAGGCAGGGTCTCCCTGTGCAGATCAGGCTGGCCTTGAATTCACTTTGTAGCCCAGGTTGGCCTCAAACTCATGGAGATCCTCCTGCCTCAGCCTCCTGAGTGCTGGGATTACAGGCATGCACCATCACACCCAGCCCCAGTAAGTGCTTTTTATCACCTTCTCAAAAGTAAACCCATGTCCCCCGAGCTGCTCAGTAGGTTGTCATCCTAGGATTAAACAATACCCATTATTACTTCCTGGTCTTTTATAAATTTCTACAGACTGTTTTTTAAAGCAGTTTTGAGTTCCCAGCAGAGCTGACCTGAACGCCCGCCACTCCAATCCTGAGCAGGGCGGCACATTGGTCCCAAATGCTGAGCCTGCGTGGACAGCGCCATTACCACCCAAAGCCCACAGGTGACATTACATTCTTGGTCGTGCGCATTCTGTGGATTTGGAGGTGTCTAATGATATGCACGACGTGCACCCACGCTGTTCACTATTTCAGCTTTGGAGCCCAGGGGACTCCCTCTCCACTGCCTAGAAACCCTCAGCCTCTCCTCTGAGTCCCGTCCCACAACCTAGCAAAGGCTCCTCAGGTAGGGGCAGGCGAAGGCTGAGTACTTTGCAGGGCCAACAGCAAGCGATCTGGGGCTCCACTACCTGATGAAAGTGGACTGGTCTGGGTCGTAAAGGGCCATGAACAACTCTGCGTCCTCCCCGATATTGCAGACAAAGTTCTTGAAGTTCACGTAGAGGCCATAGGTGTGGGCGCCGCTGAAGATGGCCTGGCTCCGCAGGTCCAGGTTCTGCAGAAGGGACTGGACAGAGGGAAAGAGAAAAACGTCTTATTTTCGGGAGCAAACAGAACCCCCACCCAGGAGAAGCACCTGCTGAGAAGACAGTGCGTGAGAATGGACCAATGATCTGCTAGGTGAGCAGGATACAAGCACCATTGCTCAGATGATCAAGGCTGCCACGTATAGGGCCCTGAATACAAGTAATTCAATGCATGGTGGCTGAGCGTGATCATTTGAGGTTCTAGGGGACACAGAATTATCGCGCCTTATGATGGCTGCTGGTGAAGCCGATCCATCATCCCTCTTTATGGGAATAACTCTCACGGGATACGAAAGATTCCGCTAGAAAAGTGTCACCTTGCATTGCAGTTGCCACTGGATTCAGAAACATGATGAAATGTGTGTGACTACACTAAAGAATTAAAAGTCACAAACAAAAGAGAATATAATCTTTACTCATCAGCGCACAAAGACTGGAAGGAAATACATCAAAATGTTAACACCGGTGGATCTAGGCCAGTGATGGTGAACCTTTCAGAGCTTTCCACAATACAAGCAGCCCGCTGGGGTATGCGTGCCGCAGGTTTGCCCCCACTGATCTAGGCAGTCACGTGGGTGACTTTTTTCTTTGCTTCCTATATCTTCATCATTTTTCTTTAATGTAGTTACCAGTTTCTACACCTTCTGAACATTTTATAATTTTCTGTTTTGGAAATCATAACACAGGCACCAAATACAGAAGATTATACAGTAAAGTCTCCCTTGCCCTCAGTTCTCCTTCCCAGAGATATCCACTGCTGATCATCTCAGAATTAGTCTATGCACATGCAAACACTGACGTATGTATGCCTTTGTGTGTGTGTGTGTGTGTGTTGTTTTTTTTTTGTCTTTTTGAGACAGGGTCTTGCTATGCAGTTCAAGCTGGCCTTGAGCTCATTATGTAGCCCAGGCTGGTCTTGAACTTGCAGTGATTCTCCTGCCTTAGCCTCCCGAGTGCTGGTATTACAGGCGTGTGCTACCACACCTGGCTTGTGTGTATTTTTGAAACACAAATAATGGCATTTTATATCCTGTTTGGCATCTTGATTTTCCCACTGTATTTATATATGTTTGCATTCATTCTGCAATAGAACACATTCTGCTGTGTTTCACTTTGAAAATGAGAACACATAAGATTTTCTAGTCATTTCTACCTCATGTCAACAACTCTCTCTCATTAAAAAAATAAAGCAAAAATCAAATCTCAGCAGCCGAAGTCTGCCGCGGGAGAAAGCACACCTTTTCCTCCTGGATCTTTTCCTCGATCCTTTTGGAGGCCACTTCATGAGCCTTGAAGAGGGCGACGGTGCTGGTTTCATCCGGGTCCAAGATGTTCCCATTGTCATCTCGCACTACCAGGTCTAACCCGAGCATTCTGGAGGGAAAGAGACAGCCAGGTGATTCTCTCCTCCAGAGGTGACGCTGCACAATAGCCCTGATCAAAGAACCCGGGCACTCTGTGGAAAGGCCAAGTACTGAAGAAGTCAGTACTCAGAAGGGAAGAATGGCTAACTGACCCCTTTCCTTCCATTTCTGCCTCTTTTCTATATGAGCAATGTTCAAAACGATTGAGATGATGTCAGCAAAACCTGTGTAAGGACACATGAAGTAACTCGGTCCACAGGTCCTCGGGAAGAAAGGCTAAATTGGCACTGGTGCTCATCAAGGTCCTCTTTCTAGTGCCTCTTCGCTTGGTTGTCTGTGACTGGGTACAGTGTGAAGCGTCAATGCACGACTCTTTAAGAGCTCACCCTGACTTCCTTACTCAATTTAGGACCGCCATAAAGGAGCTTGAGGAAGTAAGTCCTGGTTCTCGCTCTCTCGTATCCCATCTCAGATCACTGCCTGCGATGTTGCTTAGACTAGGATTTAAACCTTGGCTTTATTAACATACTAGCACTGCAGTCCCTTCATTTTCCAAAGCCTGAGTTTCTTCAAGGGTCAATGTTCCCTATCCTTCAAGGCTGTTAGGATATAATGAAATAACCCATGAGAAGCACTTAATACAAATCTCTTGCTTGCATACAGTACTCACTCAATAAATATGAGCTCTTACTGCAACAAGCGGTACAAGAAGACCTGGCTGGATTAAACTGCCGCTCGGAGGGCTGCATCGGAAACGGGGCTGTGTGGTGGGCAAAATCCCCATTCTCTTCCAGGCTTTTGGGCCCAATGGGTACATAAAAGTAGAAACAGATTTGCTTAGTTCCAAAAAGTTGGAGACTGGTGAAACAGGATACCGCTGTGTCAATGCCAAGTGTGCATTCCAGGCACCAGCGATTTGGCAGTGGGGATGTCTGAAGAGCAAGGAGACTCAAGGGGAAGGGGCAACAGGCCAAGTCTACTGGAACAAAGCAAAAATTCCTAACTTCCCACTTTCCTGTGTTATAACATCTCCACCAACTGATTTGATCTGGCAGGTCCCTTTCCTCCACAGCCAGACCTACGGGCCACCCAGACTCCTGAACGTCGGCCTTGCTGGCTGCTCAAGGACGCGATTGTGGTGGCACTGACAGAGTTTTATTTTTTTTTTTTTTTTTTTTGGTTTTTCTCTGGTACCGGGAACCGAACTCACGACCTTGCGCTTGCCAGGCAGGCGCTTTTGCCGCTGAGCTAAATCCCCAGCCCCCAGAGTTTCATTTCTTGAGCTGCTTCTAAGGGCTGGAATGGGAAAGGACACATATCCCACATCTGTGGAGGGCTAATGTCCTGCCTCAGTGGCTGGGGGACCTCTGGGCCAAAGTCAGTGTGGCAAGACCCCAAAGGACAGAGGCTGTCTGTGTGCAAAGGGAACTGCCTTATCCCATCTTAGCTGGCTTTTAAGAAAGTTATCAGACATCTGGGTATGGCAGTGAATGCCTGGAATACCAGCACTCTGGAGGCTGAGGCAGGAGGGAGGGCCATGAATTCAAGGTCAGCGTGGATTGCATAGGAAGATCCTATCTCAAAAAAACAAGGTAAAACAAAACACAGTAAGTCTTCTGCACAAGGGTAGGAAAGGATTCTCTAAACAGATCCTCAGTTGCACAAGAAATAGCAGCAAGAATCAACAAGTGGGATCATACCAATCTAAAAAGCTTCTGTACAGCAAAAGAATCAATTAGTAAAATGAAGAGACAATTTACAGAATAGGAAAGTTTTTTTGTCAGCTATTCCTCAGACAAAGGACTAATATCTAGAACATATAAAGAACTCCAAAAACTTAAACCAGCTACAGTTAAAGACCTACTTTGAAAACAGGGAAGTGAAATGAACGGACACTTCACAGAGAAAGAAGGACAAATGGCCAATAAATATATGAAAAAATGGTCAACATCTCTGGCCACTAGAGAAATGCAAATTAAAACAACACTAAGATTCCATCTTATACCAGGAACAATGGCAACCATCAAGAAATCAAAAAAATCCCAAATGTTAGCAGGCTGTAGTAAAAAAGGAACCCTCTTACATTGTTGGGAGGAATGTATACTAGTACAACCACTATGGAAATCAGTATGGAGATTTCTCAAAGAACTGAAATTAGAAATTCCATATGACCCAGCTATCCCTCTTCTAGGTATCCTCCCCAAAGAGCTTAAGACGTCATATTACAGTAATACATGCATGCCAATGTTTACAGCAGCCTGTATATCCACCAACAGATTACTGGATAAGGAAATTATGGCTTGTATATATATGGAATACTACTTGGCTAGAAAGGACAAATTTGAGACATTTGTAGGAAAATGAATGCACCTAGAAAATATAATGGTTTGTTTGTTTGAGACAGGGTCTCATTATATAGTTCAGGCTGGGCTTGACCTCAATATGTAGCCCAGGCTGGCCTCAAACTTACAGTGACCCTCTTGCCTCAGCCTCGTAAGTGCTGGGATTACAGGTGTGTGCCACCAGGTCTGGTGAAAATGTAACGTTGAATGAAATAAATTAGACAAACTTTTACTATTGTATCTCTCATCTAAAACAGGCAAAGTACAAACTAAGAGGAAAACAAAGGAAGGATATAAGGAGATAAGAGATAGACTTCTTGCAAATGGGAAGGGGTCCAGGGGATCAAGGGGAGGGGAAGGGGGAGGGGGAAAGGGAGGGGAGGAGGAAACAGGCAGAGTGGAGATGTGCCAGGTTCAGGGCCCCCATAACCTCAGTGAGTACGGACATTGCATGCCATAGACATGAACTAAGATGAACATTATCAACAAGAACGAAAAAAGGGAAAGGAAAACGAGAGGAGGAGGGAGAGGGAAAGGATTTTAAAAAAAGAATCAAGCTGTATTATGTCCCTGTACCCACTCCCCAAGATGACTGTAAAATGCTTGTACTGCAAACATGTACAAATAAAATAAAATAAGATAAAAATGTTTAAAGTCTTCTGGTCCTACATGACTGGCAGTGCAATTACTAGACTTATAGTCTTCAGGACGGAGCAGCCTGAATTCTCGGCCCTAAGAGGGGAGCATTAGATAGGAAATCAAAAGGCCTGAGTGCAAAGGGACACTTTCCCACTGACTGCGCGACTGGGAAGGAAATCACTTGCGCTTGTGTGGTCCATTTCTTGCAGCATAAAATGGAAATGAGAACAGCCGCTTCATAGGGTTATAAGGCTGTGAAACATGCAACAGAGGCATCTCCTAAATACTGATTGAATCTGAATCCTGAAGCTCTGTTCACTCCAGCCATTTCCGAATGCAGCCGTCAGAATATGGCATTTATGTGGTGAGGCAAGGAGCCGTACTTTAGCAGGTCTGTGAGGGGTATTCAGCAGTCCTGAGGCTGAAGCAGCTGGGTGGAAGTGGAGGGGGAAGAAGTCACATATTCAAAAGTTAGAGGAGCAGGGTAAAGGGGGAGGAGAAAATCATATACACACAGAAGAAACCGAAGCCACATGAATCCCCCCCAAACACCAACTGAGGGGCCACCTCTGCCCTTTTGAAAGGACCAGCCTGGAGGCATGAGCCCTAAGCTACATTAATTTGGATAAAGTGACTGAATTTCTGATTTCCAAAGGTGATAAAATCTGGAGCCCATGTTCTAGCTGTCTGAGCTAACAAAGAGATCAATGAAGAGACTGACACGTTAGAGGTGACCGCAGCTGTAACCCCCAGCCTGGAAGCACGCTTGCTGCTTTGGAGAACTGAGTTTTCATACACTGCAAACCACAGTCCCGGTTAGAGAAAGATGGAGAGAATGAGGTCGAATGAGTCTGATATTGATTGAACAACCATTGCTGGAGCAAAAGCAGACACGGTCTCGGGCATCTGAGAGTGCCAGGCCTCTCTGTGCTTCTTCAGCACTGGGCCAGCGTCCCTGTCACATCTTGACACGCAGCGCAGCACACACCCCATACAAGGCTGTGAAAGTTTTTTCAGTGAAAGAATGTTTTCTAGGACACAAAGGGAGCAGTAAGCATCATTCTCTGGAACACTAAGATCCAAAGTCTGTTGGTAAACTGGAGAGGTGGGGAGATGTGGGCCTAGGGAGTGGTCAGGAGTACACTGGGGTGAAGCTAGAGGAGAGGAATAACTTCTAATGTTCTACAGCACCCCACGGTGCCTATGGCTGACAGCAATTCATTGAGAATTTCAAATAGCTACTGGAGAGGATGCTGAATGGCCCCAACACAAAGGAAACAATCCATGGCTGTGGTGATGGATATTCCAGTTACCCCGCTTTAATCATGACACATTGTACACTTGTCCTGAAATACAACACTGTACCTATAAAGACGTCCAATCACTATGTGCTAACTTAAAACGAAGTTTGTTGTAAACAGTATCCTTCCATGAAGGTGTCAGTCATGCTCCAAGTTCCCAGTGAAAGATCGTCCCCAGTCACCTGTTCCCATGATCAATTTTGGCTGTGACTTTCTTCTTGAGCTCCGCCAGTTCATCCTTGGGGAGTGTTCCAGACAGGATTTGGGAGCGCCACTCGATCAGGCTGTAGGTCATCTGCTGCAGCTGGCGGAAGAGTGTGGTCTTGTTGTTCTAAGATGAGAAAACAAGGTAGAGGAAACACAGAAGGAGAGAAGAACGGTGTGGTGAAAACTGAGCAATTCTGATCGTTTATGAAGTGTTAAGCAGTTAATTGTGTCACGTGGAAAGCTGTGTGTGCTCAGGATTTTTTTTTTCAAATGTACCTAGGGATGGCTTTGTTCGGAGCCAGGCCTACTTCATCCAGTATTGCAACTTTAAAAAAGGATAAGTTCAAATGAAAAAGCTTCTGCACACAAAGGAAATCATTAACAGAGTAAAGAGACAAACTATAGAAAGGAAAAGTTTTATTGCCAGCTATTCCTCAGACAGGACCTCTACAGTGGTGCCTTGGTTCATGAATGCTTTTCTTTGCAAACAGTTCGGTTCGCAAACAGAAGTGTTTAGCAAAATTTAGTTTTTGTTTGCAAACTCTGCATCGGGTGACAAACCAGCCACGGCCGTCTTTCCTGCATGAACACAGATGTAGCCATCTTTTCCAAAATTGGAGAACAAATTATTCATGAACCAAGGCACCACAGTGTCTAGAATATATAAAGAATTCAAAGAACATTAGACCTCCCCTAAAATAGAAGACCCAATTAAAAAAAAAAAAACGGGACACTGAAATGAATAGACACTTCTTCAAAAGTACAAATCGCCAATAAATACATTTAAAAATGTTCAATATCTCTGGCCATCAGAGAAATACAAATCAAAACAATACTGAGATCCCATCTCACTCCAGAGAGAATGGCCATCATCAAGAAGTCAAATAATAATAAATGCTAGTGAGGCTGCAAGAAAAAAGGAACCCTTCTACACTGTTGGTAGGAATGTAAACTAGTATAACCACCATGGAAATCAGCATGCAGATTCCTCAAAAAAATGGATAAAACTAGAAATTTCATTTAACCTAGTTATTCCCCTCCTAGGTATTATCTCAAGTAGGGAAAAGGGAAAAAATGCAAGTCAGTTATACTATTAGTGTCTCTTAGTTCATTAATAAGGAAGGTTTATGCTAATATTGATTAGAGAAATTCTTATGCCCATATCTTGTACCCTGAGCAACTACTTTAAAGATAACATGTGATGCATTAACTATTGTTATTCTCTTATTCTGTTAGGAAATTTTGTTTTACCTTTTTTCCATAAGTGAATATAAAACAAAATGCCTAATGTCTATCCCCCCCAAAAAAGACATCATACTACAGCAATACACACATACTCATGTTTATAGCAGCACAACTTGTAATAGCTAAATCTTGGAAGCAGCCTATATGTCCACAAACAGATGGATGGTTATAGCAAATGTACTATTTATACACAATGCAGTACTATTCTGTCATAAAGGATAAACTTGAGTCATTTGCTTAAAAGCCTCCAAGGATTTCCACCGGGCACAACAGATCCCACTGTGAGTTCTTCAAGTTGCCACCCTTGCCCATGCTCCCATCCAGGTTATGTCAACCTTCACTGCAAAATCTGTGCTCTGTGCAAAGCTATGTTCCTTTCTTTCAAATGCTCCAGACCTTCTCAGTATGAAATTTCTTCCACTTGCAACTACTCTGCACCTGATTCCCCCAAACCTATCTCTAGCCCCAGCCTCTTCTCAAGCACACACTGTCCTTTCCAGCAGCTGGCTAATTCTGACCTCGGCCTCCAAGCCGAAGCTCTTCCTTGAGACTCTAACTGGGCTACTTGCACCTGGAATTTACTACTGTCCCCAACTACAGAGCCCTGGGTGACGCTGGCCTGCCTGACTCCTGCCTTAGCGAACACTCCTCTTAGACAAGGAAGACGTCACCTTGGTGTCCATGTAGCTGATACAGGGTAAATGCTCCATAATATACTGAAGGAAAGAACTAACAATGGAGAAATAACTGGAATTTCAGAAATAAGAAATACTGGAAAATAAAAATGCAAACATCATTTTAAAATCTCTATTTCTCCAGAAAACTGTTAGGTCATTTGGACACTGAACTGTTCTTCTGGGTTTCTACTAATATCTTACTGTAATTGAAGTAATTAACCACCAGTGAATCATTTATGCCTCGATCATTTTAAGAGTCAAATGCTTGATGCTAGCTATCACAACCTTGATTCTATTTAAATAACTGCTTCATTTTAAATATATATTTACATATATTTATGCACAAATATATACAGGTATATACATATCTGCATATGTATCAATTTCTATAAGTACATATGTATGCACATATGTATACATTGTATGTGTACACATATACGTGTATTTGTGTGTGTATGTAAAAACAGTCTATAGCATGTGCTGTGTGCTGGAAATAAGGTTTTTGCCTTTGAGGAGCTAATATTTTAGAAAAAGACAGTAATTATAATTATATATATGTTATGCATAGTATATCTACACACACAAGATAATTTCAGGTTATGAGAAGAGCAAAAAAATAGAAAAAAATTGAAAATAAATAAGAAAATAAATAGGGCAATATGATACTTGTATACATAGGGGTAAGAGGTCACTTTAGAGTGATCAATAAAAATGCTTTGCATACCGCTTTTGAAATATATTAAATAAAAACCTGCACAATCTCACTTACTTCATAGATGCTGTGGAACTACTTTTTTCCCATTTACAGGTAAAAGTCACGACACAGTATACAGCCATATACTTCTAAAATTACAAAAACAAATACAGCAGTACGTTACAAAAACAACACATGCACAAACCACACATGCACACTGCTGAGAGCTGCGCAGCACGCCCCCAGAGGTATTCTTCCATGACAATCTAGGGATGCAGGCTCTGGGGTGAAGTACGGACTAGAAACAGGACCGAAGAGACCCAGGGTCCTCCTGAGCAGAGTGCAGGTGAGGGAAGAGCACTGGGCCAAGGAATGGGGTAGCGGCACTGTTGAATGCCTTGCACAGCTGATGTGGTAAAAGTTCATGAGAACGCAAAGAAACAGAGGGAGCCCCATGGATCTGGGGCTTCAAAGTGCTTTAACACTGTAGAGCTGGCCTGGTGGTGCACACTTGTAATCCCAGCACTTGGGAGGCTGAGGCAAGAGGATCGCTGGCAAGTTTAAGGTCAACCTGAGCTAATAAGTTAAAGGCCAGCCTGCACTATACAGTGAGATTCTGTCTCAAAAAACAAAATCAAACCAACAGAGCAAATACAGAAAGCAATGCCTGTTTAAAACTGTGAAGTTACCCCGGCACGGTAACATGTGCCTATAGTTCCAGCTATTCAGGAGGCTGAAGCAGGAGGACCCCAGGTCTGAGACCAGCCTGGGCAACTTAGTGAGAAACTGTCTCAAAATAAATAATAAAAAGGTCAGGCAATGTGGCTCAGTGGTACAGTGCCCCTGGGTCAGTTCCTAGTCCTGTACCAGCACATGAAAAAAACTGCAGAACTACCTACATTTTGTGCTTTTGGCATTTTCTACATTGCTTTTTCTTCATATCCCAATTCTTAGAAAAGCATAAAATGAGGCAAAGATTCCATTTTTAAAAAGCCAAAGTAAAATCCCTGCTTTGTTCGTTCAATCTGCTATAAAACATTTCCATTTCATTATCTTCCAAACTGGGAAAAAAAGTGAAAAACTAAGCCTATAAGGTTTTTGCCTTTAGAAACTATTTGGCATAAAACAGATCATTTCTTTTCTTTCCTGCAATCCATTTGTCCACCCTAGTGTTTTTTAAAAATGGTTTCTAATTTTAATTAAGATCCTGCCTTTCATACTGCAGCAAAGAAAAGGCTCAAGGCTCAGGGAATCCTCCGTGTAAGACAGGCTTTGTCTGGGGCACATGTTCCCAAGTCCTCCGTCTCAATTATATTAGACACGATCCATGGCAATTTAATTATTGCCTGTCCACATCAGCCTTGTTCGCCAAGTTCTTCCCCCAATACGGATGAAGACAGCCATTCTTCTCTGATTCACGGTGCCAAATTAATACTGAATAGACAAGCTGGAACAGACCGGAGGAAGCAATTTCCCCATCCACTTCAAGGAAACGGACTCCACCACCACATTCCCCAGATTGTTCTAAGCAAGGTGGAGGGTCACTGGCCCCTGACCTGCATGGGCTGTGAGGGGACAGCTGAGGACAAAGCCCTGCCCAGTCCAGCAGGCGCAGGGCCCAATTCTCTGACGCTGTTCTCCTGCCGCCCTATGCTAGGGTTTGGATGTGGTGGGTCCCTCAAAGGTCCATGTGCTGGAAGCTTGGGCTCCAATGTGGAGATGTGAGGTGGGGGAGGATCTTTAAGATGGCCCAACAGGAGGTAATCAGGGCACAGGGGTGCTGTCCTGGGAGAGATGAACCCTGGTCTCCTGGAGTGACTTAGTTCTTGCTACAGTGCTTCGTGACAAACAAGCAAGCTGGCTCCTCAACTGCTGTGACTTCTGGTCTCACCCTGATCTCATCCACACATTCCGGTGGTGAAACCATCAGCCGTGTCATGACCCAGCCTAACAGGCCCTCTCCAGAGGCTGAACAGATGGAGCTGTCTAATTTGCAGCCTTCAAAACTGTGAGCAAAATAAACCTCTCTTCTTTATGAATACCCAGCTTCCGGTATTTTGTAACAGCAACAGAAAATGGGTGCTCTGAGATACTGCCTGCTCTATTTTCTAAATACTGCACAGCCCAGGCCTGCCTGTTGCAGCATTCTTTCTTCATTACTGCCAGTCTTTGCTGGTGGACTTTTCTGCACTCCCAGCCACTACTGCATCACTTCACAACACCTCTGACCCTCTCCAAAAGGGTCAGCACAATCCCGGGGTATGGTGGGAACTTGAAAACAAATCTGATGGCTCAAACTTAAAATAACACTCTGGAACTAAAAGAAAATAGTGCTCTGGTTTCTATTAGAGTGAAGACCAGCTACATGAAACAAGAGATCTCAGATATTGCTCTACCACTCAATGAGGACCTTCCTGTGTTCACTCGGGACTTTTCCCCCTTTTCTACTTGAAGACATCTAAGGCCTCACTTTTTTATATTTCTGGTCCAGATGTTTATCATTTTTTT